TGAACTAAATTAAGCAAAGAGGCAAAACTGGTTAATATTAATGGGTCCAAGTTCCATCCATATAAGTTTGTTACTATAATAACATCAGCCTCTTTCAGCTTAGTGCAGACTAGATCATTTATGTGAAAAACATAGTCAGTCATGTTGCAGCAGTTGGACATGCAAATTCATCACATCCAACGTAAAGCCACAGCTTTGGATACATAACAATACTTTTACTTCTTGACAGTTCATCAGTTTTCATAATTCTATCATTTTTACTCAGTACAGTTTAGCTGTGTTACTATCTCAGTGAGTTTGCTGGTTAAAGTATTTAACTGGAGGGTTCAGTTATTTGTGTTATTAAACTCTTATATTGGAGAGGTGTTCTTTTATGTTTTACCACATATGTGTGAAGAACTATCTTGTTTGAGAATGTCATTGCTGAACTTAAATCTTTCATATATCATATTTATTATCTAAACCTTTGCAGATAATAAGTTGGTGATTGGTCATTTTGATCTAAATGACACATTTTACTAATAATTGCCTTTGACATTTGTGATGTTATTTATAGCCAAACCAAACCTTTAGTTGTACAACATGTGAAAAACTGCTGCCATAAAGCTCTTTGAACACAGATGCTGAGTTCCTCTACAAAGGCCAAATCACTGTGGAAAACCCAGCGAATGGACAAACCCCGAAACGTAATAGTCATTTGAATCCCTTTACTACATTATGCTAGTGCGTCTGTGGAGGGCGTTGCATCAGGAGGAATTCAACTTGTGGCAAATATGTGGGTAGTTCGAGAAAGTATAATAACCTTACTTACCACCTTTAATAGCTAAATAGCATGATGATCACAGGCTGCTTTGCTCTGTCACCATTGGGTGGTGTAGAAAACACAGCTCTGTGCTGAATACCAGAAGGAAGCCGAACACTGATTACACTTTTGTTGTCCGCATTCTTGATTTTAAAAAATCCACAAAAAAGTGTTCACCCATAGCAAACCTGCAAAAGACAAACATGAACTACAGTGAGAATTGCACAACATATGCATGGATGCAAAGCAAAACATTGCTTTTGTGAAGTCCTGAAATTATGTCACAACATGAAGGATATTTGCAATTAAGGCAATCTGGTCCAAATTACAGCTTCATTATGACTGAAAAATAGGATGATGGGAAACATTTACTCTGCTGCTTTTATTCTACTTTACATCATGTTGAGGAGCAACACTCATTCATACCGAGTGCAATTAATTCCAGGAAACATAACTGGCACTTATTCCATGTCACTGGAAGGCATTAGAGGAGGGTTTATTTTTCTTTCTTTCCAATATTGGCTCAGCTGCTCATTTCAGCTTCATCCTCATTCTCATCTCCACATACATTTTGTCCTCTAATGCTTTAGTTATACATAATTCCAACATAAAGGGACTCCAGAAATACACTCAGTCACATGTAAATGCACTATAATTTCCTGAGGGAGTCTTCCCAAGGGATCAATAAAGTCAAGTCTAAGTCTCTAAGTCTAAGTCTTCATGACTGCACAGGACTTTGACTGAATCAAGAACTGGAAGTCAATATGGCTGCGTCAGAGAAAGAGGACAAATAAGTGTATTGGCCTGCAGTGTGAAGACAGGATAAACCAAAATATATCTGATAACCACATGACACATCACAGTCAGAAAGAAAAAGTCTTATGAACCTCAGCGCTTCATTCATACAACTGATGCCCAATATTAATTATTCATTTGAAACATTTTGCTCATACGTAAATCTGACAACACTGCTAGCTAAGTGGTCCAGAGATGCCTTTCTGCATGCTTTTGTGCTCGTCTACACATGGCCATGTATCCTTGACTGAAGTCAGGACAATGACAGTGATGAAGGAAAGATGCATTTGTTTGTGCTCTTCCATCCAAAAGCCTGTCAGATCTTTCTTAGTTTCAAATCGATGTGGGTTCCCAGCTGTGCACCCTGTAGCTGTGCTGGCTGCCTCCATGAGTATGTGTGTGACTGGCTGAGCAAGGGAGAAGGCCTGAGGTTATTATGTTCATGTAAAGAAAAATGGTGAGACAGAGTGGCCAGATTGAGACAACACTATCATTACTGCTTATCCATGAGGATTCAGGGTCAGGGTGCATGCTGCTCCTCCAACCCTGGAAGTTTAAACTGAGGTCTCTCCATATTCACAGAGATCCAAAGCTAACAGCTTGTTTAATGCAGTTCTGGGGGACTTGTCATTGGGATTATTTTCCATACCTTCTATAGGGTTTCTTTTTTGCTGTGAATTCAATAATTTCAAAGGCTTTTAGTCTGACTGGGTAGTTTGGCTCCAGTTACACTGCAGTCAAAATGGGACACAGATTGATAGCATGAATATAAACCCAGAGTGTATTGTAACCTTTTGATGCACAACATTGGAAAGAAATTACCTGGTTGGGTTCTTATGATCTTTATAAACAATCTGCATCACTCGATATTCCAGATTCTATTTTCTATTCAGTCGTGTTCTTGTATATTTTTTTGACTGAAATTTATTTTTCCTTCTAGTCTAGTTAGTAGATAGATAGATAGATAGATAGATAGATAGATAGATAGATAGATAGATAGATAGATAGATAGATAGATAGATAGATAGATAGATAGATAGATAGATAGATAGATAGATAGATAGATAGATAGATAGATAGATAGATAGATAGATAGATAGATAGATAGATAGATAGATAGATAGATAGATAGATAGATAGATAGATAGATAGATAGATAGCATTTATTGTCATTGAACAGGATTCAACAAAATTTCTATTGCAACTCCCATGCAAAAAGTCAAATATATACAATAAAAAAAAATAAACAAACACACAATAATAATAAGAATATACACAATAATAATAATAACAATATATACAACTAAAATTAACTAAAGGCACTCAACCACACCAAGGAAGAAGTAGTCGGTCCAATTCTTCCTTGGTTAGTATTCAGTATTTTAACTGATATACATATAGTCAGTAATAATAATTTTATTATTTTATTATTATTATTATTAACAAAGACCATAATTTTTACTTTTAGTCTCCAACTTTGTGACAAAGTACTGCTATTTTATTTACACAAAGTATACACAGGAATGTAGACAATATAAAGGAAGTTACACTGTGTACATTCCTGTGACACAGGAGAGACACTCCAACTTGGAGTGTAAACTTGGCATTTACACTTTGGATTCTTGTTCTGATAAAACTAGATGTTATTTTCTAAGTTTGTTCTAAATTTATATACTATGCCTTCAGAAAGTCATCACAAAAAAAATTGTTTCCTCATTACTCCTTTGCCAATGTCCATAGGAACATTACACTGAGAAATACTCCCTGATACGGAGCTCAAAGAAATTGATTGAGCTCTGCCCCTATAAGTTATTAGCAACAGATTAATCTTAAATATTATGTTTTTATTAACAAAACAACAGACTGTGTGTAATTAATTTTTATAATGTTTTTCATTTAATGAACTGAGCTACTGTTATACATAAACTTCTCTATTATATTCTAATTTGTTAAATATCGAGCAACGAATCCACAGAAGCTTCTACAAACACAATTTTACAAAAACAAAATTTTTAGTAAGCAAAGTTAGAAATTATTAAAATATAGGTTCAGATAGTTATTGCATCAAAGAAAAGTTTTAAATTTGACATAAATGCCTCACTTCTACTCTTATAATTAAATAGGAAAGTTATTTGCACAGTCAGTCCTCTTAAGACTCTGACTCCAGTCAGTGAAGTCTCAACTGTTGTCCACCAGTTCTGAAGATATACCCCCTGTTGACCTTTGACTCTGAGTCAGGTCCTGCTGGGGGTTTCTCCTGTTAAAGTTTTCCTCTCCTCCATCACTAACCAATGTGGTCTTTGTTTTCTGACATCTTTCCACCAGAACTAGCATTAACTTCCTTAGAAGTCATTAGCACTGATAGATAAGAGTTGCGTTTAGGAGATACTCTGATTAAGGTATATGCACACTGTGAACTAGTCCTTGTCAAACTCACTCAAATCCTCACTCTTACCCTAACCCTAACCAGCTTCTAAGAGAATAAAATGTTCTCCTAGTGGCTAACTTACCCTACTGTATGTAGGAGCCTCGGTGAAGAGATAAATAAAATCAAAGTCACTGGTCATAGTCCTTAGAGCTCTCTGGAAAACTAGGTGCTATTTATTAGGAACACATTGTCAGTATGTGAGAAAGGTGGTGCCACAGCCCCAACACAATTTCATTTGACGCAGTTTGACTCCAGAAGAGGGGGCTGATGGGTGAATTTTACACTGAGAGCAAACCTTTTAGCTTTGAACACAGCAAAGACACAATGTGGCAGGAAAATGGGCGATTGGGCTTCAAAATAAGAGTATTCCCATGAGGAAGGTGGAACGTCTCAGCTGGACTTTGGTGTGTCTGCGTGCATGCATGTGTGTGTTTGTGGCTTACATTTAGAGAAAATGGATGCAATTATTATTAATGTGACAATGCAGGGCTTCCCCTTCCTTCTTTCTTTCCTTTGTTCTTTATTTATTTATATTTTTTTGTTTATTTCTTTATTACTTTCATTTATTAATTCTCTCTTTCTTTCTTGCCAGTGGAACTGGTAGTATTATATCAATATTAAGGAATTATTTACCCCTATACTTAGGTGAAAATGTAGTTTTGTCTTATTTCAAGTGTACTAATATATTTGTAGTAGAATAGACAAACATACTTGATAAGAATTTGTTTTTCTACAGAGTATACTTTTAATTGCTCAAGTATTGTAGAAAGAGTCTGAATAATTAATATATTTATTGCATACTGACTCTTCCCCAAGTCTTACTCAAAGGGTTTCCCCTTATGCTTTATTAAACCATGTATTTATTTTGAAAGATCTGCCTGGAAGTTATTGAGGTGTATTTTGGCTCTCTTGATACCAGAGCGAGCCCCTGGCTTCCAAATAAGGAATTTGGCTGTCGCCGCGCGGACGCACGGACTGACAAGGACGCTCCAGAGCCGCGAGCTGGAGACGGCAGTTCCCGAGACGTGCGCGAGCTTCCTTTAGATCTGCGGCTCTGTCGCAGCACTCACATTCACCTGGGGGAGCGTGCGGCGTGCGTGCGTGCGGAGAGGATTTCCAATTGCAAAGATCGCCTAACTTTTTACACAGAAATAGACTCTAAGGATTAAAAACAAACAACGAACAAATAAAAAAAGACATATAAGAAGACGAACTGAAGTGAAATAAGGATATTTCTGTCCGAAGTGAAGAGTTTGATTTACAGGGTGAATACAAGCTGAATGCGTTCTACGCACTGGGAGCGCATCAAACAGAGAGTCTGAACTCCTGGCAGTTTCTCTGTCCTCTTCGTCCCCGAAGCGTCGTACTTATTTATCTTAGGGTGAGGCGAGCTTTTTCAGAATAAAAACGCGTTTGGTGGACTTATCGCAGGACTTAACCCTTCTGGAATTGTTGAACACGCTGAACGCACCGACCATTGATCACTGCCATGCTTCGGACGGAGTGGTAATTTACTCAAGGTAAATTATTTTTTTTTTATTGTTCGTATTATTTCGTCCAGTTCTCTGTTACCGATGTGTGAGGAACTGGTCCGGTCAAATCAAAGTTTCCTGTGGCAACATTTTGGGACGCGTTGCCCTTGTTGTTTCAGGAAATTCATATCTGGTTAAAGGGCAGGAAATACCACAAAGAGGTCAAGTATTAAAATATGTGAGCTGTCATTTATTCAACAACTTGGTGTTCCTGGAGCCAGGCCAGGAGATATCCGAGTGATTCCCAAAGCTCACACGCCCAGTCGCTTTGAGGCTCAGGGCGGCTCAGGGCATCGTCTGTCCGCGGGGACGCGGCGCGGCTCTCCGGGGATGCGGTGTCGCCCGAATCCAACCCTGCTCAGAACCAAGACAGCTGAGCCATTCTCTGTTTTCCTGCAGAAGGTATATAAGAGCAACAGTGTCCTTCAGTAAAACAGAAAAGAAGTGAGCTTAACTATATGAACTCGCTCACTGTGCACCACATATATGGCTCTTTTACACGGTATTTTCCCATTCACTTAAATTGCTCATGTTTTTCTTGAGAATGTAAATACTTTAATATAAAATACTGGACTATAACCAGCTTTTCCCGTGCATGTTCAACCAACATATAATCAATCATTTTCCGAAGCAGTTTGGATTATTCTGAAATGAACAGTGGCGAGGAAGATCAGTGTATCGCTCCTGGATTCCTTATTTTTATGTATGTATTTATTTATTCATTTATTTGTTTACACTTTAAAATAAGTTCCTACCATGTTTTCATTAATTTGTATAAACAAAAAAAGACTAAAATCAGGCGAGCTGCTGGTCAACTCCTCAAATGTCTCCATCTGCAGCTTCCAGGTGGCTTTCGAACATCCTGGAAACATGATCTGGATCTGCAAGAACACCGCAAAAATGTGCTGATGTCATGTCTTGGTGATACTTGACGAGCAGACACAGAAATCATGCCTCCGGTGATGCTCTTGGGGGAATCCCAAGTCTTTGCAGTGGAAGAGCTGGATGAAGAGGCTGTGGCACACCGCCTGTCTCTAGCTGATGGCCCTGCCTCTCAGGAGACCTCATCACCTCTAAATGAGTTGTCATTCACATTCACAGTCTTTTGCTTCGGTGAGCATCCTTAAAGTCTCCTGGAGCTGGAGTAGGACTTCTTAGCCTGCCCAAGCTGTGGCACTCAGAGCCAGCAGAGAAGGCAAGTTTGGAAACATTGCAGATTTTGGAATTTATATCAGTCTAATAAAAGTTGATAATTCCTCTTCATTGGACATTGGAAAGCAAAGTCAAGATTTGATCTCCTAACCTTTTTTAAATATGGCTAGATCAGACTGTTGGGGGCGCTATAGAACATCCATTCTTTCATCTGTCCATTTAAAGCCCCAGCGCAGTCTGAGGTGCTGACTGTTGAATAACTAAAGGCTGTATGGCCTCAGAGCTGAGATTTCTGACCAATAGGCCTTCCCTCTTTCAGTTGGCTCTAAAGTGAGAATGCAATCTTAAAAACTCAGAATCAGAAACTGGGCTTAGTTTTTAAGATCCATGAAAATGCTTTTTGATATTCTGTTTTGACATTGCATAAACGTGCTGCAAAACCTTCTGTTGAAGACGGATTAATAGAGTTCTGGTTTGGAACTAATTCAAACCTCCAGTTGCAGTCAGTTATTCAAAGAAAATTAATGACTAAATGAGCCTCATATCAGAAGAAATTGTGCCAATGGCTTTCTGGGAGAATTTTATTATTGTTATTATTCACTGCTGATGCATCTATTCAATATCCATTAACAATCCTAGTTACCACATGATCCAAATGATCTTTCTTAAAGAAGGAAAGAAATGTGTTACTGCAGCTAAAACAACACAGCGTACTTACTAATGGAGTTATAATTATGTTTCATAGAATGACATCATCTGAAGAGTTTTTTTTGTCCTTAGATTTAACTATAGAAATCTAAGGACAATGGATAAATATAAATTTATCCATTAATGACTAAATGTCATTGTATATTATAAGTTGATAATATCTTTGCTCTTTATAAATACTCTGGTACATTAAATAAACAGATACTATTTGCCCTTTAGCAGGACAAAACCACATTCTTTGCTTACAGACATTCTGTTAAACATTGTTACTATAGTGAGAGTGCTGGATGCTCTTTCCCAGTTTGTGCTACATTAAAACAAGGAGGAGATGTAGTGACCTTCTGTAAGCCTGCTGACCAGCAGTGTGCAGCAAAGAGTCTGAATAATTAATATATTAATATATAGGGGAGGTGTAGGGGAGGAGGGCTAGTGCAGCATTACTACTGTCAGAAAAATCTCTGTTTAGTCTGGTTTTAATGTTTAAGCGTTTAATTTTTAAATCTTTGGTACTCTTAAATGTACAAACATTATGTAATTTTATAAAACACATAATGATGAATTTTATTCCAAATGAAAGTGTGAACATTTATGTGTTTAAGAAAGAAAAATTTTTTGAATATCTTGTTGGAGAATTAACCTCTTTTCTAGCAAATAATTTCAGTAAAGCAACATTGAATGTTTTATTATTATTATTATTATTATTATTATTATTATTAATATTAATATTAATATTTGTATTAATTTATAAGCCATCTAGCCGCTGATGCTTGATAGTAACACAGTTTGAAGGGAAGATGTATGAATCTTTTTCTCACCCAGAATACTTCTTTTCCTTGACAATTCTGAAGCACTCACTAAATGACATGTTGTCAAACAGGCAGCTATAGAAATACATAATTTGTTTATTTTGACTGCATGATGTTATCTTTTGAGAAAATAAATGTGGATTCTTAAAGACTAGATCATTTCTTTATTCCCTGTCTGCTCTATGCTCCACGCAGGTTGGAAAATCTCTTTTTTTCATTGAAAATGTCATTGAAAGGGATTTAAAAAGGAGGAATGGTTTGATTGAAGGAGTTCTGGTTTGAAACCTCAGCCTTGTGACGATCCAGATGACACCATGATCCAGTGAAGCAACAGTAAGCATATGTAGTAAGCATCGTAGTGTTTATGGAACTTTTTGTCACACCGCCATTATTTCTAGATCAAGCCAATGACAAAGCTCTGAGAGAGCCCGATATGCAGGACCTGTCAGATGTTTTAAAGTCACAAGCATTTCTGGGAGGGAGCCAGGTTTAGAGTTTGACAAGCATCACCCCGGCTTCCCTCGGTACAGGTACTGCATGTTGGCAGTCAACTGTTTTATCTCCAGAAAGAGAAGAGATAAGCGAAGGGAAGTCAACAGTGGAGCCCTGACAGGCACTGCTGGCTCTGAGGCGCAGGGATGAGACAAGCCAACAACGCAACACTGGCCTTTTCAGAGGCATTCAGGCATGTTTTTTTTTTAACCTCGATGTCCTCTTTTGTTTCTGCACCACATCCTCCCGCAGCTTCGGAAAATACCCGTACTGTCGGCTCGCTCGCCCTCCCTCTGTCTTCCCATCCTCTGATCACTCCCTTTTCAAACAAGGCCACAGTGTCCAAGGCTGTGAGCCGTCAAAGACATTCATATGTGAATTTGTAACATTAGAGGGATCAGTATGAGAAAGGGAAACTGGGGACGTCGTTGAAAAGGAGGGAGATTAAATAATGGACGGGCGACAAGGAGACAGTCAGTGAGACGATCAAAGATGGATTAAAGGAGGGACAGAGAGAGCATACAGGACTCAGAAGATGTGCATCTAGGAGGCCCTTGAACTCTAAAAAGTGTCTTACCATCATGCTTTGGAGTAAATGGCCAGCAATCAGTCTTACCGCACAGGTTATTCATACACTCCCAAACACAGGGACATTATAATGAAAACCTACTGTGATTCTGTGTCCCACTGGCCTGTCAGCAGTAATGTGGTAAATTATTGTTCTTTTTTTGCCTGAAGGGACCTGGAGGTCCACCAGATCCAGTAAAACTATTTGTTTCCCTAATTAGGGACAAAATGAGAGGCTTGGGAGGGTATTTAATGAGGCTTGGCCGTGTGGGGACAGAATCAGGAACTGTTATTCTACAGTTGCAAAAGTTTTACCACAACATTTAACAAGCACTGACTAAAGCGGTTTCATGTATCAAACGCACTGAATGTCATTAGATGGGATTGAACAGAAAGTTCAGCTTAATTCCCAACCTGGCTGGACTGGTGCTCCAGCAGGTGCAAACGTCACAAACCATCATGAGGTCTGATTGGGTAGTTGGTCGTCATGGAAAAAGCCCCTCTAAGTTGCAAGAGAAATATGAATTTTAAAAATTGAAGTTCCACAATTATTCTTTCCATGTATTGCAGCTCATTCATGAGTGGAAGCTGTGACCGTCGCCTTCTGAGAGCCAGCAGCGTCTGATCACTTCATTAGTCCTGTTGCTAAGGTAGAAAAGGAGAGCTTCAGGTCAGCTATTTAATCTGGAAACAACAGCAATCAGAGCATCAGAGCAGGAACAAAGAAGAATGCCTGCTGCTCAGAGGTGTTTATGAGCTTAAAAATACAAATGATGTGTAGTCCAAACAATGTAGAACATGACCTTTTGGAACAGATCGTGTTTTATTCTCTGCTCTAGCATCAAGGCTGGATTGATTTCCTTTAGGTTGAACTGTAATGCCTATTACTTTGCATTGTTCTTCTGAAACAAAAATTACCTTATTCCTTTTTTCAGAAACCAAACACTGTTCGAGCTTACATCACTAACTTCTTAATTTGCCAAGGCCACACTTCAGATATACGTGTAATGGTTTCCAATAATGTTAAGTAAGTGTGGAGAGAAAGTACCAGCTGTGTTACATCTGGTATTTATCAATCAATATTTAGTGTAAGGGCATAAGGTTATTTTATTTAACTGTTGACTTCAATGATTAATTTAATTCAAATAGACTTTACATGAAAGATACATCAAATGTCATAATTCATATCATTGAACTATTTTCAAAGAGTCATTGGAGATGGTGATGCTATGGGCAGGAAGGATCTTCTGCAGCAATTTGTCT